GCACCTGAAGTTAAAATGGTACATGGTATAGAATCGGTATCTCCTCTGCATATTTATTTGCTACTATAATTACATCCTGCCTAGATATATAATCATGATAGGAATGTCCATATCAAGATGATAAATGCTAATAACCTAAAAGAAGTCCTACACCACTAGAACTATATCCTAGGAGTTCTGCAGACACAATCACTATGATACTGAATACAAAACAAACTTTGCTTTTTTTTACATAACTCTGTTTTCAAAATACTCCTATTCTCAAATAGATGTTGCTATATAGGCCAGATTTTAAAGCAGAAAAAGGTAAAAACTGTTCTGATTAAAATAAGACAAAACATCAATTTCCCTTCACCATGTTATACAACTGTTTCTGCAAAACAGTTATAGCTTACCTGTAGGACTCCAACAGGTCAACAACCTCTGTCTGTCCAAAGCGCTTAGCCCAGTCCAAAGCCATCCTGAAAGAATTGCATAAAAATCTTTATTAATTTCTCACTTCAAAAGATACATAATGAATAGCACATTAGATGAGACAACAACTGACACCGCGCTTTTCTATCAATTTCTCCATTATTGTTTAATCAGTGCTGTTACTGCTGGATCTGCAACTTTCCATTTTAAAGTGCATACACAGGTGTAATAGCTATATGATTTTTAGATAACTGCAATTCATTACCAAGAAAGACCCAGTTTTACACAGAAGTACATGGAAACATGCAGAAGGAAACAAGGAGGAAGAATATGACGTTCCTTCAAAAACCACACACCAATAAGCAGAGATAAGCCATGCCTTTTTGCACTACTCTTTACCAGCCCCTTTAAATCATCCTGAGAAGTCACATCCCAGACATTTTTCTCCAAAATGTGTGAAAACATTGGGCTTTTTGATGTCTTAGGGAAGTTGACCTCCGCACAATGCAGTTCACTGTGTTTTCCTTCTCAACTGCATTCCTTCCTAAGTTTTTCAAGTGGTAGTACCAAATACCTCATATTACAATTATTTACTATAGTTCCCTGTTTATATGAAGATACAATTTATGGCCACAAAATTCGAAGGTTTTACAGACTGATGAATATTTTTAAATGATACAGTGTATTTACAGATATAACACAGTAAAGATCTTTGTACCTGTACACTATTTTTAAACCCAATACAGGTTACTCTCTTAAAACAAGAATCACCAAACTTTTTGGGTCTAATTCAGTCAACCCAGTGAGAAAGACCTGATTTTTTCTTCTAACTAGTGTGTTAAATCAGACTCATTGAAATCAAGACTGTCTATCTTATATTTGAAACTGTTTAATTTCTAATTTAATTTAGAATTTACAGAATACAATGTGATAAACAGCAGTTAGAAACTGTGTAGACTCTCAAAATCTACTAGTGCTTACAGTAGTCTCATAAATTTAGCAAATTAGTTTAGAATTTCTAAATTTCTTTCTCATTTGTATATTGACAAATAAATCTTTCAGTTTATCTGTTCTGTTTTTACCAGCCATTGGATGATTTGCAGTGGATACTTGCTCCCATACTGATCAGTTGTTCTACTTGACTCAGAAATCCTCTCCCTGAAGCAATCATTAGTGCAGTTGCACTGGTTTCACTGTGCCTATAATCAACTGAGAAGTTAAAAAAAAAAAAATAAAAAAATCAGCAAAACCAATACATGTTATTTTTTTCATCTAAATGTAGTAAGAATATGACTTTCAAAACCCAGCCCAAAGAGAATTTGTTTCCTCACTTCATCCCACCAGTCAGTTCATGTGAATTTAACACTATTTTAGAAACAAAACATCTGTCAATACTTCAAAGCAAGTACAACAACAAATAACTAGAAAACTCGTTAATTCTACTAACCCTGTTTGTTTTTTCAATAGCCATCAGAATTCAAAGGTAACAACATTTGAAACTGGAGATAAAGTACCCACAGAAATTCAAGTCATTTTGTGGTTGTTTTTTTCTTATGTAATAAGATGAGAAACTTACCGCTGACATTTTCGGTTAAAATGAGATGGAACACTTGAGCAAAGGCATCAATATCTTTATGCAACCAGATGTCAGAAAGACAAGAATCCATCTCTTTTATTAGCCACGGTTCAAGGCAATTCACATCTTTTTCAGTCTGAAGAGAAAAAACAGTACTGAAAGATGAATCTCTTAAAGAGTCGTCTTTATTCTCATACATTAGACATGAAGAATTTGAACAGTTAGGTTTTCCAAGCAACAACCAGAAATACAGCATTCAGGTATCAGTTAAAGCATTTATCATATGCAAGTGCTTTAAACAATGGCAGTCTAGCCATTTGATCTAAACAAAAGTTTTGTACAACCATCATAATTGAAAAGCATACTTTAGCTAGAGTAGTTCATGCTAATAAAAAAAAAATCGTTTTAAAACACGTTAATATCCTTCTAGAAGCTCTACAGAAGTAATATCTTTAGAAAACAATTTTTAAATGGGTAGTAATAATTCAGTGCAGATTTTAACATCTCTTCCAACAAAAGGAAAAACATACCAGTTGATTAAATACTGCATCACCACTATCATCCAACAGATTATACTCTTCGGTTGCACTTGGGACAGATCTTTGTCTCCGAGATTCCACTTTGCTATTATTTTCTTGAGCAGAACACCACTCAGTAAGAGTGCTTTGCTGTTTTTCTTCTAGAATGCATAAAGTATTTCCAAAAAAGTTTTACAGTAGTCTTAATTATCCATTGTTTTCAGTTACAAAAAACAGTTATATCAAGTCACAAAGTTTTACCTATTCAATCTCTTTTATTTAACCTAGAACGCTGTTACCAATCCAATATAAATTCCATGATTAAAGGCACCCAAAGTGCACTATTGCAAACATCTGCTCTAAGAACAAAGTAAAAAATACCGTTTGGGTGCTTAATCCCCTAAGTCTCCAGTATTCCAACCCACTGCATTCAAATGAGCTTCCTAAGTATTTTCTACACAAATTCTCAGTCCAGATCTCTCTCCAGAAGTGAAATACCAAAGTGATACAGCTGCTGCATGTAACAACTAATTTTTATACACAAGTAGCAGAAACAGTAGAAGACACTAGTGCCTGAACTGAACTTTTCTATCCACAATGATCAGAGCTAAGCACCATGATAAATGTACAGTTAGGATTGTATGTTACAGCTTTGGGTTTTGCCCCCCCCCCTTTTTTTTTTCTAAATACACACTAGGATCATTACTTTCAGTTGACAGGTAAACTTCTCAAATAATATATCTACTTAATTAATTGAAAAACAACTATATTAAGGTCAAGTGTTTTAATGCTTTTGGGCTACGTATATATGTTAAATACATCCACGTCTGAAGAATGCAGTGAAAAATGTTACTAATAGGAAACGCTTCTGTGCAAGATGTACAAAATCCTGCCCTCTTTAATGGCTGCACTTCAATTTGCACCCAAAAGTCAGCACAGAGTATCATCTGCTTATATAGTTTTCATGTGGGCAAAGCCCCCAGTTATATGCAATTCTACTCAGTAATAATTAGGAAAAATATTCCATTTATCAACTACAAGAAAAAAGAATGCAATCACTGAAAGAAAGTGAAAATATTTTTTTAAAGTTATGTAATCTACTTCAATAATGTAAACACTGAGAGCTTAAAGATACTTGCTGTCATCTAGTCATGTCTCATTCAATATTATGACTTTGGAATTTTAACAGAGAATCATCCTATTTAGTTGTTCAATCAATGAGACTCATTGCCAACCCTAAAAATTAAGAAGTCCACCAACCTCGCTGCTTCTCTTTTTTGTACTTTATCATCTCTTTGTTTGTATACCCAGTGCTTCGTAAAATGTCCTCCAAAAACATCTCTTTAACTTCAAAAGGTCTTCCTTGTACTGAAAGTATAAATAATTCATAAAAATATTAGATATTCCCTAGCTTCATTTATAATCTTAATTTTTTAAAAGCATTTTTGTAGACACAAAAAGTGAATTAAGCATTATTAGGGCCTGATTTAAGGAATTACCACTTTCCTTGAAAAGTCCTTTAAGAGCACCCTCACTGGAGTTTATATTCTTAAGATTACTGGGCCACAAAACAAAACATTTCAAAAGGGAAATGCCAGCTGGGTACCTTGTTTCTCATTAACCTCTTCAATTCTATTAAGTGTTATAGCAAGAGATGCTCGCAAGATTGACAGTTAATTGCAATTTTATCAAAATGAGAAGAAGAAAACAGCCATTTTTGGTTAGGGTTACAAAAAAGAATTTACTGTGTAAATTACTGTATTACAAAATATAACAGCAATTAACACAGCTTTAGTGCAAGATCCCACAAGCAGACTGCTACCTTTGTATTAAACTACTTTTTTTCCCAAGAAGTATACGATGAGATGGACTTCTCTCAACTCCCTCAATCACTTCAGCCAAATTTGGCTTTCTTTACTGAATGCTTCCAGATAAAAGAGATCATTTACTGTGATTTCCTTTTCAATATCACTGTTTTCTAGACCTTATTCATGGACATTAAAGGATTCTTTTTCAGAGGAAGAATTAAAATATCTAGATTTTAATTTCTGGTCCCTCAGCAGACATTTGCCATACCTGAGTTTAAATCACCTAGGACTTTTCTTCAGAAAGAACAAGCTGCAATTCACATACTTCTAGAAGCTGTAGTGGAGGAAGCCTTCCAACACTGATCACAAACTCTGTGTACTACAGAAACCCACAACTACAAAAGGTTGGTTTCTGTGGCCAGGATTCTGTCAGCAATATTACTGAAGGAGGATCGAATCTTTCTCATTACATTAACGGCTGAAGTATCTAAACTCTCTTCTTTTAATTCTGAAATTCTCAAAAATTGAAAAGGAGTGTCTTTTCAATTGTGATTAGCCTGTGAAGACTAGTATGTGGATGAACAGTATAACCACTGAGGTAAACTGGAGAAAGAGTTTGTCACCAGAATTTCCTGAATAAACACATTGATCTAAATGAACAGAAAGGTACAAGAAGAGTAAACTGGAAAGCCACACAATTGTAACTGAGGTTTCCCCTCTCCAAAAAAAATTTGGAAAACACTGAAATCATGTAATTTACAGATTCCTGCCTCCAACAAGCTGCAAGCCTCATTTTACTAGGCAGAAATTCAGAACTGGAAACTTGAAAAAAACACTTCTATCTGGAAAAAAGAGATTTCTTTTTCAGGAACATTCACTAAAATAAACTGATGATTTGTAGAAAAGATTCTAAAGAAAGTGATCCTGCCCATGTCCTGGGACTGGTGAGCTTCTTAAAAAAAGGCTGATATACAGACAGTCTACTTGATTGTTTTGAAAAGAAAGCATTTCTCTTAAAAGCTTCTTTTCAAAACACGTTATACTTAGACATTGCTATTGAAGAAGGAAGAGCACTGCAAGGTGCCAGAGGAGCTCACCCATGCAGAAAATTTACAAGCCAGGAGGGTGAAGAAGGGGGAAAAAAAAAAAAGCATCTCCCACACTTCCATGTTTTACCTCTACTAAAGATCAGTCAAATTAAATTAAAACAGCAATGATGATAACTTTTCTTTGCATTTGAATGTAAACTAACTGCAGATTACTGAGTCTGAACGTAAATTAACATAAATTGCCATGCCTTTTCTCATTGTTTACCTAGATTAACAGCTAATAATTTCCTTTAAAATAAAGAATCATGCAATTAAAACATGAAAACCCGGTTTGCCTAGGACTGTATTTCTAAAGTGACGAGGTGCGGTCATCTGTATTTTATCCAGTAATGAGTAGCAATCTCTGTGAGCCTGAAGAACTAGAATCTACTGGAATGAATTAATACATATCACACTCTTCTAGATCCTAGGGTCTATTATCACCATGGACATCAGCACTTTAAGAGCTTTTTTCCTGCTTCTTGAATTGAACATGGTGGGGGCCAGGACATCCCTGCACTTAGACAACTCCCTGTGACAAAAACACTTCACTCTGAAGTAGGTGCAGGCAGTTAAGAAACAACAAAAATGAACAAAGAACAAGCACTGCTATAACTCTCAGTGTATTTATCATATTCCCTTACTCAGAATTGTTTGCTACAGTTTCATAAGATCTTTAAGTCCTAGGGCAGGTATACTCAGATTTAAGAGTTTACGTAAATACTTACTGTGTATTACTGGGCAACTTCCAAAATACCTAATAAAGAGATTTGCATCTAGGGCAGCACTAGAAATAATTAGTTTTAGATTAGTCTGTTTTTGCAACACATCTCTGAGTTTTATTAACAAGAAGTCACTGAACCTATCCCTCTCATGTACTTCATCCTATAACAAAAGGAAAAAAAAAAAAAACAAAAACCAACAGATAAACATCACAGATCCAAGATCCTAACTTTTCACAAATATGAACTTCTCTAGAAACTAAAATACATAATCTGTGGGTATATTACAGACGCATTAAAATGTGTAAGTCTAGCTTAAGTAAGATTTTTTTTTTAAAACCACCCAAGAGTCAAAAAATATTTCAAAAAGTTTTATAAAGATATCAGAGCAGACTGCACTGGTAATGCACAAGCCACATATACCTTCATTTCAGAGGTTAAAGTGAACTTCCGAAACTTTTCTAATTCTCATATTTTAATCTCATTTTCAAGATAATGACAGAAACTGCAAATCCTACAAATCTTACTTTAATAAATTCACACTTCACAATTGATGAACATTTAAAGGAATGCATGATACCACATAATTAGAAAAAAATTAGACTGCTGACATCCATTAAGTCATGCACAAAGCTCATCATCAATTAAGGCACATGACTGATTAAACATCTTCGTTGGTGTGTTCTGTTTTGTTTTATATTATGAACTTATGAAGCAGGGACCCAAATACAACATTTTTAGGCTGAAGTCAAGAATGTATAAATCATTCTCACACTTTTTTCCATTTTGATAAACAGGCAGGCACCTAAAGTTACCATGAATTTTTCTGTCTTCAGCAGTGGAGAACTTAATCTTGCAGTTAACATTCTGGTTCTGCTGCCTTATCAAATTCCACAGTAGCAATATTCACATAATCACAAACAAATGCACTTTAATTTGCTGAAAATTAGACTACTCATTATCTTGAAAACATTTGGCCAAACAAATTGCAAACCTGGTACTGCTAAAACAAGCACACGATACAAGAAATTCTGACACACTCACATTGAATCATATCTACATAAGCCTCCCTAAGGCTCTTCTGCTTTCTGACAGAGAAAGTTCAGAAAAATTTAGAGCTCTGTCCTCCACAACTGCATCATGATTCCAAAATTATTAGCATGAACCTAAAATAAGGTACTTCTAAAAAAAAAAAAACCAAACCAAACCAAAATGTGTGTGCTACAATGAAGACTCAGTAAGTCTTTAATGTTAATTCAGATTCCAACCAAACAAAACACCTTAAATGCTCAGCAAATTAATAAAGAAAACTAGGATCTCATCTTCCAGTTAACAATACACACTGCTCCACGTCACATGAAATACAAGGATTCTTACCACAATAATATGCGTCACAGTTGATAGAGTGCTGTCTCCTGCCATTAGCGTGCGAAGCAGTATGCCATTAGTGCAAAACGTTAACAGTGTCTTTGGAGAAACCCTGTTGAACAGTTCATAGATACTTCAGTATTTTGCACCATTTAAATGCTGCTACCTTTCCGCTACTTACTGAAAATCAAAGGACTGAACAGCTGCTCACCAGAAGTGGAATTAGATTATAGTTCTCTCACCAAAGAATTCATGCATATTATTTGTTTTTAAACTAAGACTATTCCCAGAGAGTTCCTAAGGAATCTTAATGCTTACACTTCAAAACTTCAGACAATGGATTAATTAACAAAGTGAGATTCAAAATTTATATAAATAACAAAGCAAGTGAAACAGAACGTCGAGAACCTCTCCACATTGTTTAATTTACTGGAAAATTCAGTGTGGACTGCTTTGGAAAAAAGGGTTCCAATTCTTCAGCATATGCTTGGATGTAGTCTTTGTATGTGCCTATATGTGGTGGATTGACCCTGGCTGGATGCCAGGTGCCCACCAAAGCCGCTCTATCACTCCTGTCTTCAGCTGGACAGGGGAGAGAAAATATAATGAAAGGCTCATGGGTAGAGATACCCATTACCATCAGAGGCAAAACAGACTCAACTTGCAGAAATTAATTTGTTACCAATCAAATCAGAGTAGGATAATGAGAAATAAAACCAAATCTTAAAAACCCCTTCCCTGCACCCCTCCCCTTTCTCCCCAGGCTTAACTTTACTCCCCAATTCTCTCCCTCCCCTCCCCAGCAGCACAGGGGGATGGGAATGGGGGTTGGGGTCAGTTAATCACACGTTGTCTCTGCCGCTCCTTCCTCCTCAGGGGCAGGACTCATCACGCTCTTCCCCTGCTCCAGTGTGGGGTCCCTCCCACCGGAGACAGTTGTCCACAGACTTCTCCAATGTGCGTCCCTTCCCACAGGCTGCAGTTCTTCACGGACTGCTCCAGCGTGGGTCCCTCCCATGGGCTGCAGTCCTTCAGGCACAGACTGCTCCAGCGTGGGCCACCCACGGGGTCACAAGTCCTGCCAGAAAACCTGCTCTAGCGTGGGCTCCTCTCTCCATGGGTCCTGCCAGGAGCCTGCTCCAGCGCAGGCTTCCCACGGGGTCACAGCCTCCTTCAGGCATCCACCTGCTCCGGCGTGGGGTCCTCCACAGGCTGCAGGTGGAGATCTGCTCCACCATGGACCTCCCTGGGCTGCAGGGGAATCTCTGCTCCGGCGCCTGGAGCACCTCCTCCCGCTCCTTCTTCACTGACCTTGGTGTCTGCAGGGTTGTTTTGCTCACATATGCTCACTCCCCTCTTCAGCTACAGTTTCTCTTGCACAGGTTTTTTTCCCCTTCTTAAATTTCTTATCCCAGAGGCGTTACCACCACCGCCACTGATGGGCTCAGCCTTGGCCAGCAGCAGGTCCATCTTGGAGCCAGCTGGCATTGGCTCTGTCGGACATGGGGGAAGCTTCTGGCATCTTCTCACAGAAGCCACGCCTGTAGCCCCCCTGCTACCAAAACCTTGCAACGCAGACCCAATACACTATACTTGACTGAATCACAAAGAAATCAGCTGATCTTTTTCAAATGCTTTAATTTTTCTCTTCAAGAATTTCAAAATCTCTGGAAGTTACTATTCTAGTACCCGTGGCAGAGTTAGCTGTACAAGGAAAAAGAGCAATTGCCACTACCTTCTCCAGCACTGCCACCCAAAGTACTGAAAAGTTCCTTTGTATTGTACTCTACAGTTCTTTTCTGGAAGACATGAGCTCCCTAGTTATCATATGCGTATTTCTTTCCAAGTTTGGAATTCATCACTCCTTTCAACACTCCTCCTACATATTCAATTCAAGAACAATCCAAGATGGAAATGCTTTGCTTTACCCATCTTCACTCTTCTCTCTTCTTCAGCAGCCTTCTAGAAATCATCATTGTTGTCCAACAGTTAATAAAACTCCAAAAATTAGACTCCTGTGTTATTCCTCCTGTCTAAACCCCTCCACTCCACACCTTTTCTGCCCAGAGTTGGAAATACTGTCATGTCTCCCTTTCGCTCTTTCTCTTGAACGAATCTATTGATTCTTCTTAAGCAGGATTTTTTGCACTGCTTCCAGTAGTTCTTCCATTTTGATGTGACCTATACTTCGTTCTTCTTCAGACAGCGTAATACTTCCACACAGTACTCATCCACCTTATCTGCAATTCATCGTTACTAGCTCTTTTAATCCCTTAACAGCCTTAGGAGCTTTTGTACGCATATTCAAATTCTTCTTTAACTTGGCTTTGTTGTTCAAGTGCATTCATTTTCATTAGCTATGTGATATCTTCATCCACACAAGCAACGTAACCAGCTATACCTTTCGCTGTCTTCCTCTCACCCATATCCCAAGTGCTGCCCGCTCCTGGAAATCCCACTATCTACACAGTTCAAAGAATCTAGAAACCGCACACAGTCTTCAGACTTTCATCCATTCCTGCTCTGCTTTAGGGACAAATTTCCTAGGTGACCTAGAAATCTCTACTTTTGTATCAGTTCATGCTTTAAACATAAAAGCTGAAACAGAATAAATTTAACCCAAACTAGATTGGTAAATAATGCTCAACTTCATCATTCACTTTCAAATTTTGCTTTTTTTTCCTTTTATGTCCCCTACCAACTCTCACTATATAGCATTTGTCACAGCATGCTGGTCTTCCTACTTATCTGCAAAGCTTGCAGAACTTTTGGATCTACACATGTTAAAAGTAGGGAGAAAAAAAAAAGAGAAGAAAGCATAGACTTCATCTGAAAGTAAGACAAGAAATGCCACACACACACAAAAAGAAATCACGAGAAAGTACCTGCAATTCACTTGTGTAAGACAACTTACTACATGAAACTCCCAAATACAGGATGAAAACTGTCCTTTTCACTCTTCAACATTCCATGACTTGAAATCACATGTCCTATCTATACTTTACATACTGAGCTTTTACTAGGCCGTACCCCATGTATACTGTAGCTTAAATGTACACAAGACTAAAGTACCAAAACAAGATCAACTGCTTTAAGAAATATCATTAGTACCTGCTTTCTAATCGGATCTGATAACCAACTGTCTGGCCAACCTTTTCTCTTCTTTCTGCTGCCACTCTTTCAGCCACACCAACAGCTGCCAAACGTCTTGGCTGAGTGCAAAATATACGACACGGAGTTCTGTTTTTGTAACATTCGTCAAGAAGGAACTGAGGGATCTGTAAAGAAGTGGTTTAAATTTACTTTTTAGTTTGATAAAGTCATCTCTTTTTTACCATGGTGAAACAATTTAACTGCATCTCAATATTGCATAGGTTGCAAAAGGATTCACAATGGGATTAGCATTGCAAACATACTTGAAGGGGCAGGAAGGCAGAAAAAATAAATTTCTGATTTCAAATTTAACCTGTTTCAGAAAAAAAAAGTTGAAGCTTCTCTTACTTCAGAGAAATCTATAAAAAAAATACCTGTAGGTAATATTTCATTTACAACACAGTAATATTCTACTCTAGAAACTAAGAAGAGAGCTAGCTTTAGAAGGAAAAGGGCTATTCAAAATCATAGCTACTCTCCCTGCAATATTTTATATCATTTTAACAAAAAACTAGTATCTACCAGAAAATTGTGCAGAAACATTCATGCTTTTAGTAAGTATCTGCTGGCTTAGTATTTCAAAAGCAAGAAAGTGAACTAGAACACAAGACTTTTGACTATGTAGGAAAACAAAAGCCTTAAAACTAGCATAAAGAAATCCCTTACTACTTAAATATTACAAAGTTGGCGTGCTTTGTATAAATACTGTTATCTTTTTTATTTCATTAAATAAACTTACTTGAGTAGTTTTTCCTGATCCAGTCTCTCCTACAACCAAAACAACTTTATTGTCCTTTATTATTTTGACAATTTCTTCCTGTTTCTCAAAAACTGGTAGGGATTGCCTGAAGGAATCAAACTCCGATTCCCCTCTTTTCACTGGAACCTGGGGGATACCATTGTTAAGCCGTCCGCTTGTCTTGTTCACATCTCTGTTTTCTGTGAAGAGAAGTTAACAATTTACTTAGACACAAAAGAAAAATAAATATTAAAAAAATTATTTAAAATTGTACGTAAAAATGAACTTTCCTAACTTTATATGCATCCCTATAGATAAAGTGACAAACCCATCACACATTTAAAAGCCATATTCATAGTAACGCATCCTGTTAGGGTGCTTGAAATAAATATTGTTCCAATGAGTTACTACTTTTGTAGATATTTTGAACAAAAACAGACTATCCCACTGCACTGCTCAAAGTCAAAAAAGGTCACGAAGAGCAAAAATAGAACAGAAACTAAACCCCAGAAAAGCAGCCTGGCGTATTTGCTTGGCCTTTGTATCATGTCCCCACATTCACACCTCCACAGTTTGTCTAGAAATATTCACTGTACAGTTAAACCTTTAAGTTATTCCAAACTGACAAGCAGGTCTTCTGAGAAAAAGGTACCTTTACTGTGATTCATCCGCCTTCTTTCTCTTCCTCTCTGACCTTTTATGACCTCCTTTCAGACAGTCTTACATAACCTAACGCTCTAGTCTGTAACATTTGTCTTAAATCACACAAACTGAACCATGCTGTACCTAGACCCCTGGACCCACACAGCACAGTGCAGTGTGATGTATTAGAAAGCAATGCATAAGTAGCCAAAGAACCTGCACATCTTCAGAGAAGACTACTTCAGATTCAGTAAATGCTATTCTATAATTCCTCAATAATTATTTTCCAGAACAATGAAAAACTTGCTGTAAATTCAACTATACGTATTTAATGTGATAATCAGATTAATATATTAAATTACAAGCACTGTCTTACCAAGACAGACACAAATTAAAAGACCCAAAAACCATTCTGGAGAAGTGAAGAAAGATAAATTTTACACTATTCATTAGTTTATATGCCTTACATCTCTAAGGAATTGCTTTTCAGTACTTTCATTACAGTTGCCCTCTGTTCATTAAACAATCCTATTAAACAACTGAAACAACTGAAAAAGAAAACTAGCAAAGGAAGCACTTAAAGCATGAACTATCATAAATCAGAAATATCCAACGAAACAAGGCATACTGGTACAAGTGTTTTCTGTGCACTACACCCAGCTTTGTGCACAGAAACACAATGTAACTCTTACACTCATAACTGTTAAAGCAATAATCTTGTTGACAGCACTGTTTAAAAAAAAAAAACCCACAATATATCAGAAGTTTGTACTCCAGTAAACTCTTTCATATTCTAGAAATCAAGAAGTCCAGAAAGTAGTCTTAGGGACCAGATCTATTTTAGAAGACAACGAAACAAAAGATAAACTTATCTTATCACGAACGTGAATTTCTATAAGCAGAACAGCCAGCCTCACTTTCTCATAAGGGTGTTCTCATACAGCAGTCATGGTAACACTTCTCTTTTCAATCTCACCTCATGGAACTTGTAGGAGCTCACATTTCAGAAAAGTGCTTCCAAATAAATTTGGCTGGAACTAGCTTGAAGATTCAAAAGTAACTTGGTGCAAGGCAGGCATTGGAATGTGGGTGACATGACTGCCTAAGTTTCTTATGACACTAGTTATAAACCCTCCTATATTAACAATTAAAAGTCAAGAAAATTAATGGGTTTGTTTTGGGGGGAGGGTGTCAGTTGGGACAGGAGAGGAGACAGAAAAGAAAGGTTTTTGTTTTGTGGTTGGATTGTTTGGGTTTTTTAAGCAGTGTTGATTGACAAGTCCATATCAGAAGACACACTGAACATACCAGATTCAACAGCACATGCATTTCCTCGCTCTGTCTTTGGCAGAAGTTCTGTTCGTTCTTTATTTGTGACAGGAAATCTCTGAATTAAACTCCGAATGGTATGTTTCGTACTGGGAGCCAAGCCGCAAGTCATTACTGCGTGTGTTAGCTCTGATCCATCCTTCTTCCTTACAGTCAGGTATCGATTTGCTCCTTTCCTGAACGAAAAAAGAAAAATGTATTTTAGGAATAAGTAACTTATTTACCTCTA